GATTCCGAAGTTCATAGTAATACTTAATTAAAATCGGTAGAGAATTCCGAGATGATTTATGACCACGTGTAATAAGTAAATTGGAATTATTCAGTTTGAAAAGATAATTTTTTTAAAATTCATAACAACAAACAAGAAAGTAAACAACGAGGTGCGCGATCGTATACGAAATTTGTTCCAAAAATACGCATGATCATAGACATCGAAACGTAATTGATATTATAATTTCGCAATTCTGTCTGTTTATGGTTTTTGTTCTTCGTCGCGTATATTATAAAGTTAATTAATTACGTATTAAAATTTATATTAATTAATTTTTCAAATTATGCAATGTTGGTTTTTTTTTAATTAATTCCGATACTAATTTTTAGATATACTTTTTTTTTTTTTTTAGCATGCATATTATGGATTAGGCCAGGCCCAAAATGGGGCGACTGAGTGGTGAGGGGCGTATCCGGACGGACGGAAAAATTTATGGGGATTTTTCGATCCGATGGGATACGGGGATACGAAATCGGATCCCCCCGAGCGGTAGGCTGACACCTTGACAGCTCGGCCATCGCCCGCGTTTTAGATGCACTATTACAGTCTCTGATACACTACATCTTAATATGAATAATGCACGCTGATTTTTGAGCTTAAATAAATTCACACAATTGTGTTTGAGACTTAATCACTTTTTCTCTCTTTTTTTATATTAAATACATTAATTAAGCTTAGTTTTTACTGTGCGACTATATAGTCACAATTCTTCAACAATGGGATGGAATGGTCGGATGACCGAGCGGTTGTAGTGGCAATCTACCACTCTCGAGGACCTAGAATTATCGTGCTTCCTATTTTATAGTTCGATCAGTTTCGATTTTTAATTTTGTTCTGGTATAGTAATTTCAGATTACACCAGCTTCACCTTATCCCATGGTAACTTAGAAATTGCATTCAGATTACCAGAATATAGGATGAAATCGTTTTAAAGGAGAATAATCCCTGGGAATAGTTTGAAGGCGATTTTAACACTCCGACATTCCAGCAAATTACTGTACAATTTATTTATTCCTTCAGTTCGGAAGTAATTTTTTTCAATCTACATCTCCATTGCGAGTCTGCTAGCATATTAAGTGCCAGCGTATCATATTTCATATATCCAATATAAACCAATATTATTTTGCTTTTTAAAAGAAACGTGTTTGTCTACGAGTTAACTTGTTCGGTTAACAATGACTGTGAGAAGACCTTGCCTTTTGTTGCATTATAATTTATAATTTAGCTTATTTTATAGATTAAAATTAGGATTTTGTTAATTTATCAAATTACTTATTCCGAGTATAAGAAATAATACTTACAACATTATGACGTTATAAACTTACAATGTATATAATCACCGCAAATTTTGCACTCGATTTTGACCGGATATAAAGTAAGAAAAGTAATGAACATCCATGTTTTCTGATAGGATTATGAATTTCCCACCTTAATATATTGTGAAGGATCGCGAATACCGTGGACAAAGAAACACAACTTTTACGATATGACAGTCTTTAATTTGCGTACAAAATACAGGAATATAGATCGGATGCCAGCTACAAGCTCTATTCCTTAACTTATTACTTAATTTTAGTAACAAAAATTCAACGAATCAATTATATAACGCGACAATTCTTCCTTCGTTGAATGACTATTACACTTATAGAATATACAATTATATCTTAAGACTAATTATTACTTACTACAAACGAAAAATAGATCTAAGACAAGAGAGAAGTTGAAATGTAAAGATGAGGAGAAAGAAAAAGTCGGGTACCCAATAAATTCGGCGTTTTTCACGGTGAATTATCATAAGTTGAGTGAGCCTCTCGATCCACGGCCAATGAAAATTTCTTTCCTAAGGAATTTCGATTTCGCTTTACACTCTAGTACGAACGAAAATACCCTTCTCAGTTTTCGTTATCCTCGTTTCCTTTTCTTCTCGAAAAGTCCGTCTCGTCTCCACTCAGTTCCAAAAAAAAAACTTCGAGATTCTTTCTCACGTGTCCTTTCCTCTCTCGTACTACACCCAAGAATGACCTCATGGACCCCGTTATGCCCTGAGGGTCGCACACCTTCCCCTTGTTACTAAAGGGGTCACCTGCTGTTACGCCGTTAAACAAAAGTAGGGAGAAACTTCCAGAAAGAAAGACAATAGAAATGAAGACAAAGGGAAATATATATGATATAAAAAATAAACTATAACTATACAATTATGACACGTAGCCACAATATTCTATAGCGGCCGGATGGCCGAGCGGTCAAGGTGGCAGCCTACCGCTCTGGGAGACTCGGGCTCGAATCGGAACGGGTCGAAAAATCCCCAGGAATTTTTCGGGGGATGGTCCGTTCGGATATGTCGGGCCCCGTCCCTCACCACCCGACAGCCCCATTGTGGGCCTGGCCGAACCCATAATGGGCTTGCAAAAAGAGGCCTTCTTAGTGCCCACAGGGCGGAAAGAGTTAACCGACTCGAAACGGTGACAAGAAGCGGAAATTTTAGTCGAGGAAACGGGAAAACTCACACGGTGCCATATCAGATGAATAAGGAGTTTACGGAACCATATTTATTGAATTTTTGGCCAAAAATTCAATAACAACAAGAGCGTTGTGCATTATCGTGGTACAAATCAGGTCGTTTTCTACGAATTGTTTCACGCAAACGAGGAAAGCGCTCAAATAGTATTGTCTATTGACAGTTTGGCCAGTCGAAAGGAATTCGTGATGCACAACACAACGACAATTGAAGAAACGGTTAACACGACATTGATTTTTGATTGACTTTGACAGGATCTTTTCGGTGTAGATTCATTTTTCGAGCGCCATTTACTCGATTGTCGAGCCGTTTCGATGTCAAAAGCGAAGATCCATGTTTTGTCGCCCGTAATGATGCGTTTTAAGAACGATTCACCCTCAGAAAGCATTTTGTCCGTTACTCGAGCACATTGTTGTTTTTGGAAAAAATTCAAATTTCCGATACGACTCGAGAAGCGATGGCCGCAAGCCCAAATGATCTTTCAAAATTCTTTAACAAGATACGAATGATTCTCGAACATGTTCAGTAATGTTCTAATTGTTAAACGACGATCATTTGGAATTTTTAGGGACTGGTCCGTCCGGATACGTTGAGCCCCGTCTTTCATCATCAGACTGTCCCATTTAGAAAGAAATTTAAACTGACATTAAATTAAAACCATCGAAAACACTTTTACTATGGTTTTTGAAACAATACAAGATTTGGACTTCAGTAAATTTTTTTTATAAATTCTTATTTTTTCACAATAATTGTAAAAGGGAAGCGGTTAAATTTATTACAATTTCTGCACTTACATCAAAGCGACTAAATCCAAGTGAAGATTTTTGGTTTTTAAAATTATAAAACATTATGGAACCTAAACAATGTTGGTGGTAGATCCAAAAGAAAAATCTTAGACTATATTATAATTATGGTGTTAATTTGGGAAAGTCAAAATGTATTATCTCAAAGCCGAACGAACAAATTGACTTGTAAAAATCTTAGAACGGAGATTGTACTAAAAACAAACATTTAATCTTTATATAAAAATGAAACAATAGATCGATTCCAATTCGAAGGAAAAGCAAAATTAATCGGATAAGATGCAAATAGTTTGGTGAGAGAATCCGAAAGATTGAAGGAATGTATGATGAGAATTGTACATCTTTGTGCAAGCATTTTCAAACCGCCAGTATCGACGTATGGATGACCGAGTGGTTAAGATGTCAGCCTACTGCTATGGAGAAACAAGGAACGAATCCGGACTGGTCATAAAACGTCAGGAACTTTCCAAGGAGTGGTTATTCCCGAATATATCGAGTTCTGTCCTTCAACATCCGACTGCTTTATTGTGTGCCTGGCGAAACCTATGATGGAATTGCTAAAAAGCCACAGGACGAAAACAGTATTAAAACATAAATAAAAACTGCCAGTATCGATAAGTATCCAAAAAATGTAAACAATGTCATGTTTAGAAGACTGCACAAGAGACTTCTATCGATACAATTTCTACTAAATTTGGTACTCATTCGTGACGTGTTTTTGACCTTTTCTTACCATTGTAATCTTTACTGGTGTATGTATACAGTACGTCTATAACATAGTTTATGCAAACAAACTAATTCGTCGAACAATCGATTTTTGGTAATCCTTTAAAGACTTAAGATCGTTAAGTTTTCAAAGGATTGCCATAAAAGACAAAAAAAAAACTATTAGAAACTAAAAGTGCTATTAGAAAAATGAAATTTCATTTAACGACATTAAACAGACAATAATAAAGAAACTTTAACGGTATTATTAGCAACGTGAATCGTATATTGGATACAGATTTTTTTATTTGCCGAGGAAATTACTTAGAATATTATGTAGTTTCATTTTACTGAAACAAGTGAATGGCCAGCTGACACTGAGCCAAGAATTTGAGAAAATGCAATTTAATCTCTTTGTAAGCGTTTTAACTCTATTAGAATGTATGAACGCGTTCAAAAACTTTTTGGACAACGACGGACGAGTGGTACCAATGGGTTTCATTTAGTAGCGTACTTCGAAATTATAGCATATAACTCTGCTAGATGTAAGTTATAGTAATATGAATTTGATTGTGACAAAGATCCTTACTTTTTGAAAATGTTTCAAGCATTTTTGTTTGTTAAACTACACGGTCCCCGGCTAGAAATGCAAATCCAAACTATTATGTACAGACACGCCTTCGATCTCGTCGTTCTGTTATTAACCAACAGACAAAAAGTTATAATACAAGAACGCTTCGCCGATCCACTTTGTGTATAAATTTAGTAAATTAACAACTTAGTATCCATTTAATAATAAAGTATGCAAATCAAAATTAGAATTAAGTTTAACAAATAAATAATGAAAATGCAACCGTAAAAGATTTTCCTTGTGTATACTTGTGGGTTAGTATGTAACGTTCCGGTCCTTTTGTTTTTAGCAATACACCACTGATTAAATCATCACATTTTGTTTAGAAACCGTTCACGATTTCAGGATTTATTTTCACAAAAATCGTTTAACTTCGCGCACAACACAATACACAAGATTATTTTAATTATATAAAGTAAATGATACACATGAAATCGCGTACAACAGAGAATGAAGAATGAATACGTTAAAGTTTGACTTTACAAGCTATTACTCTACTATGAACTGCACTCGATATTGGAATTCATTCCAAAGCAACTGTTTTAAAATAATTTATCATAATTAAAAACCGACCTTTTCAAGTTACTAAGTGGTTTTGGATTACTGTACAACATCCGTTTTCTTTCATATTAAAGGGCTTTCTAGGAATTTCTTCATACTTAATTTACATGTCATTCAATAGCTGCACATGTTGCAATCATGCCGAAAAAATTTTCATCAAAATGATGAATGCCCACAAGAATTTTACGAGAAACTAAATTTTACAGAACAATGATTTCAATAAAAGATTACTAACTGGCTACAAAAATATGCGAGCCGATTTATTGGATGATGTTTTCAAACAAAGTCCAACAATCGCTGTTGACGATCATATCACAGATTTCGTAACTTGAATGGAAGATGGACGATCTAGACTTGAGGATCGGTGGACGATTCGTAGCTATCTTCTTGCCAACCGAATTGCAAATATTCGGTAAACATAGCCCGAGCTTGGTTTAAAACTCTTTGAACATGATGTTTTCTCACCATTTTATCAAAATACATTGCTAATTCGTTATAGTCCATACAGTTTCGAACTACTACGTCACGATGTTGTAGAAGTAGCGTCAAACATAAAAACAGCATAAATGGATTACCGCATCCCAGTTCTTGTGGAGGACGAAGACTTGAAGGGCGCCTTTTTGTATTAAAATCGAGGGCTTCTTCACACGAATTAGTCATAACTGATTGAACAACACCGGAATCGATGAATCCATTTTGATTTTTGTCTAAATCTTGAATGGAAGTTTCTTTTGAGCTTTCAGATTCGTAACCTTCACTCTGATGATTAGAATTAGGTGCAAACACCTCTTTCTGATCTTCGATCCTTGTTTGACTATTTTCTGAACTAGAGTCAGAACTATCACTCCTACAATTGTATTGATCCGTTGTAATGGGACTATGCACTAATCGTATTGGTATAACAGATTTTAGATGGCAACTACAACCTGACTCTTCGTTTTCTAAAATCTCTCCATTACAAGTTATTTCTGTAGTAACCATCTTTCCTTGTTCGTCAAATTCTAAATCGCACTGTTCATCGGGAGTGCAACAATGCACAGAATCGGCGGATTCTTCTACACTTCCATTAGGCTGAGTACATTCTAAATATTTTGGTTGTCTTTTGTTACTTTTCCAAATTTGATCTCCGCTTGATAATTCGTCACTGGTCCAACTTTTACAATCTTCTTCGATAGACTGATCAATACTTGCCTGACGCTGAAAACGAGCTGGGTGATCCGTCTTCGTTAAGTCATATCCTTCTTGAGATCTAGGAGAATCTAAATCTTCTGAATCTACAGTTAAAGATCTCTGAAGAAGCCTACATGAACCAGGTAAATGTCTGTTTAAATTCTCTAGTTCCATTCTTAATTCACGTGTCATAGAAGTTGTCATAGGTAAATATTCTTGAGAATCGTCATTTTCTTTAGGAGGTGCCAATGATGGCACTTCTTGTGGACTTTCTTCTGTTGCTTTTACCAAACCGCGAATGGAAGAAGCTGAATTTTGTTTTCTAATTGCGCGAACTTTAGTATAAGGATTTTCTCTACTGTGAAATCTAGGACTTTGAGGTCGAGCAGTATTTGGCGTGAACTGTTCTTCATACAGCATCAATTCGTTATCAGGAGGAGATGGTGGAATAGAGCTCCATAATACTTCTAACATGTATAAAGCATCTTCAAATGCAAATTCGCGTTTTAATTCAAGTAATAACCACCTGTAACAAAACAACAGATCATCTGCACCCTGTTGTTTTAAATATTCGAAAAATTGCGGATCATAATGTTCAAGTAGTTCAGTTAAATGTTGAAATTTTATCGTCATGGCTTTCCCATCTAAAAAGAAATTCGATTTTAGACGTTGCATTAATGCACAAAAACAAACATAAGCATGTGATTCGTCCTTCATTGTAACTAAAATTGGTGATGCTAGATCGCTCATACCTTGGCAATATGACACGCTCGGATGATTAAGTGCATAAGTTGTCAAGATATTAAAAAGAGACACTACATTTTTATTATCGTCCGATCCGGCATAAAACTTATGAGTTCGATCAGTCCTCAGCACATCTTTTCTCACCATATTAGTAACATACTGTATTTCCTCCGTGACATTACCACCACCGACCATATCTTGCCATACACTTCTCAACTTTTGATATTCCGTACTTTTTTGTTTAATATACGATATCCTGTCTTTTCCAGTCATCCCTATGGGATAAACGTTGAGAAGATGTTTCCAAACAACTTTTCGAAGAGATGGTTCGATTCCTCCTCTATACACTGATAAGCGAAGTTCTTTTGGTTTTAATAAACGACCATCACCATCCAGATAAGTGTGAAATTCGATATCCGACACGGGTGGTTTAAGAGGTTTAATAGCTTCGTTTTCGGCATCGCCAAGATTCAATGCTCTCTGAACCATGATAAAAGTTTTTTCCATCTGTAATAAATTTATAAATATTAAGCTTTTATTAAAAATACATAAATTTATCAAGAAATAATATATACATGATTAAGAATGGCTCCTCTTAATCCAGCTCTATCGGCAGTAGGCCCTGTTACCTGGGCTCTTGGAATATCTAACGGAGATATGACATCCCAATCTTCTAAGCCTTGAAATAAGAAAAATAAATAAATATATAAAAATTATTTTAGTTGAAAACTTTCGACAAAATTACCTTCTTCGAAAGGCTTGAGATCCACCTTTAACTGAAGACAAGGATCCGAAGAACCAAGAAAAGCAGCATCTAGATCCCAATCAGATAAAAGAGATAGATACGTGTCATATCCTTCCTCGTCTTTAGCTAAATAGCTAATAGTAAATTCCCTGATAGTGGAAAAATATATCTTCTTTTAATAAAACATCATTTTTATTATATATACATTTTAGATTATTAAAAGTATTCTGTATTTAGTCCTTAATAAATAGACCTACCCTTTAATGTCAAAAGCTCTAGCTAAAAGAGACTGTAAAACTTCAAATGAAGTTATCTGAGGATCTACACTGAATTTCCTATATTCTGGAGGTAATAATCCTTCACATTTCTGAAAATAATATTAAAATATGAAAAATTACTATTTATATATGTGTATATTAAAACTTTATCGAAAAAAAATATATATATATACATTTAAGATAATGTATCAAAATAAATTGAATTGAAAATGTAAAATTTAATCAACTGTTTTGACAGAGAAAAATTATTTACATTATCATTTTATTTCATAAAATTTATATTAAAATTCTTTAGATTATTTAAATTTTCTTCAATTAAAAATTTTTTGGCAAGGATACAAGTCCTAAATAGTTGTTTATCTGTTCATAAATTTTTTATTACTTATTCAAAGAAGAAAAAGTAAAAACAAGATGAAGATTTGAATAATTTAAAAGCCCTTTGTTGTTGTTGTTTTATTATTATTATTATTATTATTTTATTTATACTTAGCCTTAGTTAATATTTTAAAACCTAAGATAAAATAGCTTAATAAATGTATATATAATTAAATATTTTTATATTTAAATTCGATTAGTAAATTTTACATTAAAACATCATTTAATTAGTTATACATTTAAATTGTTTTCATATCTTCATTGTAAAGAAAATTATGTATCGTTGGTTAAAATAAATTTATTAAAGTATCATTAAAATAAATAATTTTAGAATAATTCGCTATTTATTAATTGTAGAAAAGAATGAATAAGAAATAATCAAAAAATGACATGGGAGCGAGCAGCTTATGAAAAAATCATCCAACCCGCTGACAATCAGTTAAGCAGGGATCAGTAAAGTATACAACTATCAATCATTAAATAAATGAACTAGTATTATGTGTTTCATTTATAAATGTTTTTATTGATTTTTTTATTATTATTATCATCAGAATTTATTACGTATGAAAGATACGAGTACAATAAGTAAAAAATAAAATATTATAGGCTATAATCATTTTAAACTGTACATAATGATGTATTTTAATAAATTAAATCACCAATGAAAGAAGCTATATAAGTTAAATATTAAATACACACGGGTATAAGAAGGGATAAGGATGTAGAGTTTCGATTATATCGTAATAATATCAAATAATAGGTTAAATTACTTCGAGGTTAATGACTTGATTTCATTTCTTTCTAATAAAAAAATAAAATAAGGAAAAGATTTCGATATATTTTATGAAGTACATACAAAATTCCATGACAATAGCTATTGCTATAGACACGAAACACCTGCGGAAATTTTATTGTATCATCTTGATCAATGAAATTATAATAAATTCGATGACACGCTTAATTACTAGAGCTAATATTTGAAATAAAGGAGGTGTTTTTGCTTGTTCTATCTCTCGATATTTCTTTTTGTTTAATCTATTAAGTTGATGGTTAAATATATTTTATAATAAAGACATTTACGAAATGTCCATTTATTCGTCGATTATAAAATAAAATAAAAAAGAAAAACCCGAAATAAAAGTAAAGCAGATAACATTTTCATCGTTTCAGCGTTATCAGAAATTGTTAAAAGGTGATAAAAAGTGTTTAATCTTTTAATTTGTTAAAAAAAATTATCTAAAAAAACATTAAGAATTTAAATAAAAATTAATCATTTTAAATATATTTTAAAACAAAATTAAAAAATAATTTTTTAAAATACTTTTTCGTTTGAGTCAACGAACTGATGACGGATTTGAAACAGGCAAGATAGCCTGGAGAGGTTCCTTTGTTCCGAATGACTCATCTTATTGATTGCAAAGACAAACGTGAATGCTCATTTTATAAATACTTCGATATGCGCTATTGATTTCAATCTTTCCGTATTAAAATCTTATCCAATTCAACACAACGCTTCACCAACTAAAAAAAAAAAAAAAAAAACTCACAAAAATATTCTAAAATACATTCATTGGGTCAATAACCTATTGGGTGACATTTACCGACGAGTTAGCATCTCTACGGTCTAAAACGACGGTAAGATGATAACCTTCGCAGCATCCATTCAATTCCGAAAGTGCGTCACTTCCGGAGAAAAATTATACATCCGTGACGTCACCGGAACACTTGTTTCAAAATTTATCATTTTTTAACACTAAAATTATCAAATAATCAATTCATTTAATAACATTTTAAACAAGCAATTCGATTGGATAAAATGAATTTTAGATTCGATTATTGTTTTTTTACCCACCCCCTCCACCCTCCTCCTCTTCTTCTTCGGAATATTTAAGCAATTGTAGGAAAAAAAAATACCGTAGCGTTTTTTTCGGAAGTAAAAAAAAAAAATAAAACAATCGGAAAATGGCGATAGTAGCAATAAAAACACAACAATCGACACCACGGATATATTTTTATTAAGTTTACAGGATACGAACATTAATAATAGAAACGTAAAGGGATAATTTCGGTAGGAAATGTCTTCAATTCCTTAAAAGCTGAAAGTATCAGTTAACGAAAATCCAAAACAAGACGATCACCTGCACTGCAGACATCTGCCACACAAGCCAGCTGATCGTAGACACACGCTTTCAAGTCGAACCGATTCTAAAAACGTTTATTTGTATAACGATTTCAAATTTGTATGCTTTAAAATCATATAAATAATTAAAAATTAACATTTACAACAATAGTAACTGACATCTTTACGTTATCGATTACTTATATTGATATACTACTATCTGATACGCTTAAGTAACCGATAATACTTACCTTAACTTTAACACGGATGGCTTCCCTAGAATGGAAACCTAACATTCCGGACATGTTACTACAAATTTTTAACCGTCGAAACTTATATATTTATAAGGCATAATGGCTAACCACTTTCGTCCTCGTTCGCCTGCAAAACAGCCGTCTGTGTGATGTCACCTTACGTCATTTTAACTAACGCCATCTGTTGTGAAGATTTTATATAAAACTCAACTTTCTTAATACAATACTGTATTGTTATAATTGTTATTTCTCTGTAATATATTCATGCCCGAAATANCTTAAATTAATAGTGGCTTGCCCCTGTACATCATACTTTTCCTTTAACAATAGAATCGTGCCGGTCATCTATCTAACATCTTTCAAGGGGAAAATTTTGAATTGAAATAACATAATTTTCGGTTTGTATTGGAAATTCATATATAATTAATCTGGACCTTCTACCTTTATGGTTTCCATATCTAATCTCGTTTTTCATCTAACTAACTCCATTCTTGATATTAAGGAGTGACAGACAGACGAACGACAGTGTGAATTTATATGCCTATTCTCATAAACACAGTACAGATTAAGGGCTTGACGGTTTACATAAATTGTGATATCAAGTTTGAAAAACTTAAATCGTATTATAATGAATTTAAGCCATAATCGTTTCTGAAAACTTGACTGTCATAATGGCATATTTAATTTTCTTGGTAATTTTGAAGTGCCATTTTCTGTGAATTTACATTTACTGAAAAAATAATAGTATAATTTCTATGATTATGAAAGTTGGTAAATTTGTTTCGGTGAATCATTTTAATTACAAGAAAATAATATTTTTTTCGATGGAATTATTTCTCTTGAAAGTACTTTTTATCACATTTTTATGTCGTTCTTTGACTTACAACGGGATCTGGCTCTTACAGGAGCCCCGAGAGCTCTTTTTTTTTTAAGTAAATTTCTTTATTTTTTCAAGGATTTGTCACTATGTTGTTTGGAGGAGCGAATATGAAAACTTTTCCTCCAAATAAAACGATTGAGGGGTAGAACTGGTTGGATCGTTGGGACGGGGCAGGTGGGGAAACCTGGTTAGAAGAGCCAAGAGGTCCATGCTGGTGACACTATTGGCAGCCCGTGGAGATACTCTCCACGAGGTTGCCACCAGTGACGGCCCGCCAGTGATCGAGTGTATAAAACAACTAAATAATGGTCGTGAGTTTGCGTCTCGCCATTGTTTAGTCTTCTAGGTTTTCTACACGTATGTAACACCTAAATAGGGACCATTTTCTCATAAAAGTCCTTCCGGGAGACATCTCTCCTTGACAGATCACCCACACATGTCGCATTGCAATAACCAAATAAACCAAGCCACCAATAATCGAATGGATAAACAGCGACAGTTGGTCCCCGAGTTCGTGCCTGACCCGGGTTAGTCGCGTGGGATTTACCGCGTTGTCTTCGCGTGTCTACACATAAATAACAATCAATTTTCCGTAGAAGTCTCTCTCGAGAGAGAGGTAGAGCGCTCACGTGTGCATTGCTTTACCCCATCACACTAAACATAACCAACAATATTCATGAACGTTTCGGATAATTCAAATATTCCTTAATAATTTCTTACGTATGTTTGTGGAATAACAATTAATCTTTTATTTATAAATAAAAGGAAGATTACAAATTTAAACGATTATAATAATAATAATAAAATTAATATTTAATAGTGTCTATGAAATTAAAAATAGTAACATATAATTAATAATTTACTATTGAAATATAGGCTAATTTAAATTTTTTCGTGGTCAAAAATATGTTTTTTTTCTCTAAGAAATCAATTACAAGTTATCATAACTTTGCACGAAGTAATATTTATTTATTGTACTTATCAATGTAAAAGCAAAACATTAAAAAATTCTTTCACTTGTACAATTTACCTGTTTTATTCAACAAATATTCAATCATATAATCTCGAACATTTAAATAGAGAGAAACTCGTCCATTTATTTTATGTAACGCATTTAAATCGATCGATTGAATGAGTTCACGAATTCGTTGTTCAATTCACAATAAGATAATAATGGGAGTCATACACGATTCTTCTATTCCCAGAGAAAGACCGTCATTTAAATCAAGAGATCTGAGGAACATATTTTCAATCCGCATCAAATCTCATGGATCAAAGTTTTTAATCCATGAGATTTCAACAATAAATTAATAGATATTCATTCCACTTTTCTAAATATTCGTGAAGTGGAAAGCGTGCAACTATACAAAATCATAATACAGAATAATCGTTCGAATGTTAAACCTGTTATACGTTGTTAATGACTACAATGAACAACAATAAAAAAAATATCATTAATTTGAATTAATCCTCAAAATTATCAAATAAAAATGAAATATGTACGTGGTGCTTATTAAAAATTGTCGTAGCAAAAATGCTGAAATTTGTCATTTCAAGAAGTACAGTATATAAAAGTATATATTTATGTATGTTTATTAGACAAAGGGTTCTATACCGTTCAATGTATCCACATCAAATTTGGCATGTATATTCTTTGACATTGTAGAAAAAATACTGTGGGGTCCTACCCCAAACATCTTTAAAGCTTACTTCCTCTTTAGCCCGAAAAACTGTTTTGCAGTTTCATTATTGTAAATACTCGGGTCAATTAATATACACTTCAGTTACTAAGACTATTGTTTATATTCCCCTCTCCCAACCCAACCTAATCAATCCCCACCTCCTCAAAAACCCGAGTAACATAGGGTACTCCAGCTAGTAGGCTATATAAATAAAAGCGTTTGTCTGTTCTTTATGTATTTAAAGACAGTATGAGTAAATGTAAATAAACTTTCTAAAAACCATCCTCTCATTCAAGAGAAGGTGAACGGTTTTTCGTCTACAACAGGAATATAATGGTTCGTATATTATATCCTGAGAATATTATCAGGATTTAATATACATTTTGTTATAAATGATCTAAAGCTGAACACTGTAGTTCAATTCACTATTCATGAATACAATTATACATTCTACACAAATAATGAGATCGTCAATAGGAAGAAGCGGTACGAGGTCGATAAATCCAGCAGAAGTATTTTCTGATGTCTTGTGTTAATTGTGATGAATATACGGTAGAAGAAATTGCTATTCCGCTATAAGGCAGAGAACATTATCCATTATCACGATTACAAAATACGGAATCCACGTTATTACATTTTGCTACAAGCAAATTAACCCGAAGAAAGGTTTTAAATAGTTATAAATTCAAAAAAAAAACCTTGATGAACTGAAATGCAATTATATAATAAACGTCCATTAAACTGTTATTCCAATTTCTTGAAATTCGTGGACGAGTAATAATAGCATTCATTCTTTAAGGTATGTAGCTATATCGTTTATGAGAAAATAGAATAATAGACTACTAATTTCATTAGCAAATAGCAAACTGCAATTTGGTACTTGTTCTATATTTCTAGCATATAATTTTCTACCATTCAGAATCCTTAAACAATTTCGTAACAATTCTTTATAATCGTTTCCTTATAGGTTATCCTTCTATTTCAAAACTACGTATAAACAATTCACTATTTTCGTGGCCACGCTCATTTAACTTCTTTATACCATGAAAGGTTAACAAATTATCGTCTTGTATGATTTTCTTCAATGATTGATCCATACAATTTTCTAAATTTCTTATTTTTTTTACCTCGTTTTTACTTTCCCGGCTCTGTTATACATAACAGAGGAAAAGTATAATAATGACCCTCGCTAGATTTTTACATTTTTAGATTCAGGAGACCTTCAAACGTCGAGAAATGCAAAAAATTCGGGGATTTTTCTGTATTTTTCTGTGTGCGGCACTATTTTGTTCACCTCTTTAAAGCATAATAACTCCCGTGCTTTTCTTCGATAATTTCTGAAATTTTGCAGGGTGGTTTGTGTATTATGGGGATTGATGCTATTAAATTTTGGTTGTTAAAAGTCGACGGGGTGGGGAGATAAAGAGGGATCATGTGTCACATCTCCAGTAGAATCGGACTTAATGACGATTTTATTCGTTATTAGCATTTAAATTTTTATTATTATTATAAAACCCATCCCTACCCACAAAATTAAGCGTGTTTCATTTATAAATATTTTTATTGATTTTTTTATTATTATTATCATCAGAATTTATTACGTATGAAAGATACGAGTACAATAAGTAAAAAATAAAATATTATAGGCTATAATCATTTTAAACTGTACATAATGATGTATTTTAATAAATTAAATCACCAATGAAAGAAGCTATATAAGTTAAATATTAAATACACACGGGTATAAGAAGGGATAAGGATGTAGAGTTTCGATTATATCGTAATAATATCAAATAATAGGTTAAATTACTTCGAGGTTAATGACTTGATTTCATTTCTTTCTAATAAAAAAATAAAATAAGGAAAAGATTTCGATATATTTTATGAAGTACATACAAAATTCCATGACAATAGCTATTGCTATAGACACGAAACACCTGCGGAAATTTTATTGTATCATCTTGATCAATGAAATTATAATAAATTCGATGACACGCTTAATTACTAGAGCTAATATTTGAAATAAAGGAGGTGTTTTTGCTTGTTCTATCTCTCGATATTTCTTTTTGTTTAATCTATTAAGTTGATGGTTAAATATATTTTATAATAAAGACATTTACGAAATGTCCATTTATTCGTCGATTATAAAATAAAATAAAAAAGAAAAACCCGAAATAAAAGTAAAGCAGATAACATTTTCATCGTTTCAGCGTTATCANCCTACCCACAAAATTAAGCTTTTTTTACCATATTATAATAATTAAAAATATAAAAAGTTTTTAAAATCAACAGATGGCGCCATACAGTTTTAAATGTTGCCGGGAAATGTAAGCAACTCGTTGTTGGATGTTTTTCATATTTTGTTACGTATTGGTAAACAGTTGTTTTGCTAATAACTATAATTGATGAGATAGATTTCTGATGCTTTAATGCAGTCTTCATACAATTGTAATTAAATTTCCACTGCATCGAAAGTTATCGATTTCCTTCTATTTCTTATTAAGGTTAACGTACTGTCCGCTGACGACATGATTCAGAACTTTGCTTTGGCTTTCGAAGTAGTGTGAAAATCTGTCTATAACAATATGA